GGGCAGAGGCAAAATGATTTCTACTAGAGAGGGGATCAGTACTGACTGTAAAAAAAAAAACCCCAATCAAATAATTGCATTGCAGGCCAGTGGCAATGAATGCATCTCATGCATAACTTCAGTACAAAGTTCCAAATTTGCCCAAAAAATGGGTTACAGAGCAATTGGGACAAAAAATAATGATGGTTGGTTTGTTTGTTTTGTAATGGACAGCAACTTCTAATATTTTGTGGTTCGGAGAGATCCGGATATGTCGATATCGTTGAATTGTGTTTGTATTCTTTTAAGTTACCAGATTATGTTATATGTCGACATCATTTATAGAAAATGACACTATACAAACTAGACGAAGGAGAACGTACGAGAAGGCGAACTCGCAGTGTTGGTACTGGTTGATCGTCTCCATATGAAGCATAGTAAGCTGATTGATTATCTATGAATGATGTTAAAATCCATGCGAAGGATATGATCCAACTGAAGCCAGGGTTTTGCTTGCCTTTTTTAGGCTGTCATTCTTTTGTTTGGTGAGCAGTTTATTCAAAAGTTTGTTGGTCAGTGGAAACAAATTGCCATGTTTTCTAGTAATTTGAAGGTTAGTGAGGACTAGGGCTACAACTTGCCTATCTTTCCCTTATTAGCTCCTACACGCTACAAGCTTTAATCACATGAATTTTAATGGCACTTTAGTAAAAGTTAAAACATCCTGTAATAATGATGTTTCCTGTTGCCCTTTGCCCTACTCTTTCCAGCAGGAAAAAAAAAGATTTTCAGATTACTCGTGTAGCTTGTTTTAACTTTAGGAGTTTCTAATGACGAGAAAACGTTATTTCAATAATTCACAGTTGTTACAACTTACAAGGGTGGAAAAGAAAGGAGCTTATAGCATTTTCTTACATGCTATTTAAATCATGCTCTAGCATTATACAACGTCGAGAACTACGTTCATCATAATAACTTTATGAGTTGCTGAAACCTTGCGAGTGGAGCTAAAATGATTCTTATACCAGTCGCTTCCATCTAGCACGAAATTTTTGGCTTCTTGTTGAAATGAAATCAATGCTATAACCAAATTACAAGTTTCCAATTAACACACCTGCCTAATTAGGAAAAAGAACTAATACATTATGCAAAGCCACATTTCAAAAATTCATTTCAGAGACTGCTTGCTACTAGAATGATTCCCAATTCCACATGAACCCCTGAAGTGGTGCAAAATCAGGTCAGATGATAGGACAAGGATCATAATGTAACTTCTTCTTTCTTTCTTTCTTTCACTTTCCATGAGAAGGTGAAACAAAACAAAAAGGATGGAGGCATGCACTCAAGGTGAAATTGGATGTGAAATGCAAGGGAGATATCTATGATATATCACACATAAGTTGGAATCCTGAGAAAGAACCAGTAAGTGACTACCACCACTCTTGTGCAGATTTGACATAAAGTACTCCACTCCACCACCTCTCCCCAAGAAACAAAATTTCCCTTCAAACTGCCCATCATAGATCCCACCACACCCTTTATAATGAGAAAAGAGCCTTCTCACAAACACTTCCACTAGGGTTTGGATTATCATGATGATAGGGTTTCTTTTTGTTGTTGTATGGGCTGGCATCGTCAGATCGTTTGCGACACAAGAAGCATAGTCGTTGGATATAGATGCATGTGGTGTTGTTATGATTTCGATTCAAATCAATCCAACGAGTTGGGATGATTGGTAAGTTGATCCAACGATATCAGCACGATATCGAGGGAACCATAGCTCAAATGCTCTTAGCATGGAAAGCCCATTAAAATCATGGTGGTGGGTATTGAACTATAGTTCAATGAAAAGATAGGAACCCATTACTCTCCATGAGAAAAGGTGTTTGAAAGGTAATTGGGAGCATCACAAAGGGGACTGATAATACGATTGCCAAGTGCCAACTTGGCAAAAGATCATGCTCTGGTTTTGGAGAAAGGAACACGAAAGAGAGAGTGAAAGAAAGCATCCTGAAGAGAAGGAAGGAAAGGGGGATTGGATTCTGAATAGACATCACTATTCCAGTCTCCCCCATGCCTGGTTTCTGGTGCAAAAGTCAGCAGTGTGAGTGGGAGAAACTGAAAACACAGAGCAAGTGAAAAAAGAAAAAACTCCAACAGAGAGAAAGGAAGAAGGAATAACTGCAAAGCAAATTGGAAGGCAGAGGGCAGGGAACATTATAAGCCAAAGCCCTTACGTTTTGCCTAGACCTCCACGTCCCACGAGATGTAGGTTGTAAGGGTCTGTAAGAACATGGATACCGTTCGATTGCGAGGGGCTGCAAATCACAGCCGTCAAACTGATGGCTCGGCGATGATTTTGTAAATAATGTCATCTGTGTCGATCCAACTAGCCCTGCACTGTAAAAAAATACTCAAAATATGACTGTGTCAACCTGTGCAGACCGGGGGCTGTTCACTGTTCAGCTAGTAATCGGATTGTACAAGTTCTGCATATGTTATTCTGAAAAACTTCGATGGAAAATTGATTGGCAACAGAGAAATCAAAGCATTCAAATGATGTGATTCCCAAGTTCCTGATAAAGATTCCAAGGCGACCAGAATGAATCCTATTAAGTTGTTGTGCCGACGAAAATCTTTCATAGGATGGTTCCATATGTAAAACAGCTTATCCAGTGAAGTTCATTCCAATCAAATAATTGAGCAGGAGACTGAACGCAACTCATTCAACTGCCAAAATACAAATGCCTGTTTGAATTCAGTCTTTTGTCTGTCTGGTTCACATCTGTCTAGTCCTTGTTTTTTCCAATCATTCAAAACCATAACATTAGACCTATTCTTTCAAATCTAAGCACCAGTACCTTCATCTCTCCAATGAAGTCCCTCCCATCTTGGACCAGAACATGAAGGTAATACCAAACACTTAGGATGCTGATACCGACTTGGGTTTAAGCTTCTCACGCAGGAACTGCAAGATATGCTCGCGTTTCCAGTTGTCGATTCTGCATAAGCAAAAAAAATATAGGCTAGCATGAAAAAACAATCCATAAATTAATCGAATGGACCTGGCAAATTTGTATGTAATACGTTCAGTTTTAGTCCCACTCAAATTGTTTGAATCCCCTGTTTGGCCAGAGCAAAAAGTCTATCATTTCCTTGAGCAATTACGTTCACTCCTAAGCAATAGCCATGACTAGAAAAATGCTCAATTTCGTTATAACTCCTATATGATGTAGTTATAGACGAAACAAGATGCTCGTGTCAGTGACACACCAGGGTCAATGGGTCATGCCCATGAAAACTGTGAGGGTCAGTTTCCTTGAAACATCAGAATCTAATGCTGCAAGCAGCAATATAGCTACAGACTACAGCTTTGTTGCTATCCAAGTCTTCAGAGATCAAAGACTACATGGTATCTCAATAGACCTCTAAAATGAATCAAGCCAAGTATCACAATCCCAAAGTACCCACAGTTTCATCTTTATTATATGGAAAATAAAGAGGGCTAGGAAAAACTAATGATAAAACCAAACCTTACCTAATGGTTTCTTTATGTTGGCCTTCATCATCCAGCAAGATCAACTTTGGTGGAGAGTTGAAACTATATTGAACTTTAACACTGCCGAACTGGTCCTTGTCTTCCTCAATGAAGCCAACGATCTCAGGATAGAAAACCAATTTCCTCATGCAAACCTCCAGTACTGCACCAGAGTAGGTAACCTACGATCACAAATTTCAGGTTAACTCTCCCTGGCTACACTTACCACAAGCACCAAGTAGACATTCAAAACATTGTAACCACACATTGTAACCAAAAATACGAAATGCTGATCACTGAAATCCCGAGCAAAACAAAAAACAAAAAGACAATGGCGACTACAAGAGACCAGAAACCCAATGAGAAGGATAGTCATAGAGGGTTTCACACGTTAGTTTCACTTTTTAGATATCAAAATTACTGAATGGCATTGTATTACAGAATCTTGAATGTCGTCCCTTTTCTATAAGGGCAAGAGTTTCTCGAAACTGGGAATTGGAGAGGATTACACCATAGAGCAATCACAAGCAATCCAATGTTAAAATCGTATCATTTACAAGCATAGAGAAACAAATTGAGCCCGAAATTAGTTACCCAGTAGAATGCAATGGAAAGACAGCTAAATTATCTCGTAATGAGAAATCAGCAAGGAAGGCTAATGGAGGTATTAGTAATGATGTCAAACATGATCTAAGGCAGTATACTTTGTACATTCCAAATAGCTAACTCAATTGTCCAATTAATAACCTTTCAGATTCTCAAAGCAACTAGTTTCAATTCCTCTGGGTGTTATTATACAGATACCTTGCTCATGGAATCATCGGAGTCCTCGTTGCAACATTTCAAACAGTCGGAGACCAGTTCTGCAATCAAAATGACAAATGAACAGCAAAAAGTCTCAACTTTACTTTATCGGTCAAATTCTGCAGTCAAGGTGCTAACTTTCCCACATAAAAAAAAAACGCAAATGCACAGCTAAACCCTAGAAAACAGAAGAAGAGAGGGAAAACGAAGTAAGAACCTTGATTTTTGACGTACTCAGCAAGAGCGTGGCAATCGGAGCAAAGGGCGAGTCCGGTGAAGCCTAGATCCTCGCATTCTCTCGAGCTGAGCTGCTCTTTCGCCCGCACAATCGGCGATTGGAAAAGTGAACCGAGTAAAACTACTGCCACGACCCAATTCAATCCCCCCATTCGATAGAAAAACTCCTCCCAGCCCTTGCTATGGGAGTTCACTAATTGCAGTTTCAAATGCTTCTCCTTTCCTCGTTCGAGCTCGACCGGACGATTATCCACCAGCGACGAGGAGGGACGGCGGTCGGATTCCGAAGGAAACGCCTGATCTTTGCCTTCTTCTCTGCCGTTGTTGCCTTGATTTGACCACGAAAGAAGTCGAAGAGAATCCAATTAAACGCGGACGAGTTGCCCTCACAACAATTCACATTCGTCCAAAGCCCGTTGTTTGGTTAATTATCATTTCAGTCCTCTAACTTCTTTGTCCTTCCACTTAGATACCCTCTCTGGCTCTCTTCTACAATCCTGTTTTGTGGAATGGTAATCAATTTTAGTGACACAATCGTTGTTTAATCGATAGTTATTACAAATGGAATACCATTGTAAATTGGTACGAAAACAGCATAAAAAGTCATTACAATATCGTACGATAAACCCTATCTAATACGCATGATTTAACCGATACAACTCGTCGTTACTAAATGATTGTATGTTATCCATCAAAATGTATAACACTGAAGTTTTGGAAGTACAGACGAAAAACTGAAACTACATTGCAACTTTCAGTAAATCCTCCCAGCTGCCTAACTTCACCCTGGGCTTGCCTTTCAGACTCCCGAGTTTCCTCTCTTCACAGTCTATCTTCTCCCAACCGCTGAACGGCACAGCTCTCACGTTCCTGTCGTCGAGCAACTGGAGGAGACCTTCTCTGCCGGGCTTCGTTGACGTAGACGGTGATGCTATCAAGCCATGTTCAAGGTCGTGCAATATGCTTGCCACCTTCCATGTCAACCCCGAACACCAAGTTAGTTAGCCAGTTAAACTAACGATGAAAAGACAGAAACTTTCAAAGGTTTGGGGAATCAGGAACTTACAGTTTCCTCTGCGCAGTGCAGGTTTGTCCCAATGATGCCCGTTGGCCCTCTCTTTAACCACCCGCATACGTACAAGCCCTGCTCGATTAGTTCAGGGTCTCCGGAAGTATCGCTGATGACCCGCCCTCCAGCATTTGGAACCACACCTGGAAAGAACCAAATGATAAGAACTTGGCGCGGAATAGATTTGTTTAATTTCATACACTTCAATGCTTTCATGTTGCTGATCACTACCGTTCTTATGATCGAATGGTAAACTGGGTACAGGCACTGATTTGTAGCCAACGCTCTTCAGAACCATACTGAGAAGAGTAGATTGCAATAACTGAATTAGTAAAAGGATCAAGAAAATAAGAAACTCCCTGCAAAGGGGAGACTGCAGGTTGGGCAAATCCACAGGAAGGAATTACCCGCACTCAATGTCCTCAAACTGACCGCTGCCAACGGCAATCTGCTTCCCACTGCCAACACCTGTAGACAGGCATATACACCAAACGTCAAACTGGAAAACGAAATAGGGAAGTGATGCCTTCAATTAGAATTAAATCAAATCCAGAAATGATCCTTCGAACTTCAAATATTGTATACAATACAAGCATAAGGCATCAAGTCAAGGATATCATCCAGATATGAAGACCAGGTAATTTGTTGATAGACTACATAATCTCATGCGACTTAAACATGCAGTTAAGGAGAATATGAAATTTGACTCAACATCACACTTAAGAAAAAAGTACCTTTGAGACCCGTCTTCTCTAAGTGTACACCAGAAACGTGCCCTGGGTACTCAGCTGACTCAGAAAAGCTATCAGGCTTCCGGAAGAACACAAAGTGAAGTTCACGTTGACCAGAACTAGGAAGGGAAGGTCCTGTGGTGGCAGCTTTGGAGAGCAACTCATAAACCCTCTTTCTGATACGGCTGTTCTTCAGCTCTTCCTTTGACAAAGCTCGATATTAGTAAATTAGGAAAGCCTATGTGCTAAAAATCAGAAGACAAATAACCAAGCAAAGATAGATGAATTTTTTTTTTTTATGAACTTGCACCTTGAAGCTTAACAAGGACCAATTGCCCACTTCAGTGTGATAGTTTTGTACTAAAGTTTGACAAACATACAAGTTCATCAACAATAGAAGGGGTAGCTTTTGGTTCTCTCAACCATGTTTTTATAATATTTACCTCTTAAATGGTACTGATGCCACCAAACCCATTTGAGGTGAATGTTCTATCTCTGGTTATCTATCATAGTTCCACTCTCCTCAATGCAACTTAGAATGCATGAATAAAGACTGGGAGACATACCTCATCTTCGGGGCTTTTATGTAAATCTTCTTCCTTGATGTGAATCTGTACTTTTTTTGTGCCTGCAATACAATATCCCAGGTGCGATGGTTTAGTAAGGAAACAAAAGCAATGCTGCATGCAAAACAATGAGATACAAAATACCAATCAACATCTGTGTGGCATTATCCAAGATGTTTTATACACTGAACTGAAACACAACAGAATAACTGATTCATAAAAGTACCAAGAATTTCTCGTAGCTCCTTCGCAGTGCAAGCTGCTTGGGCTGGTCCGCGTCTGCCAACCAAATAGACTTTCCTGTAGTAGTAGCTCATTCTCTTAGCACAACAAATCACAGATTTCAAGCAAGATCTCTGATTAAGGGCCAATGATTGCAAGGGTAAGAACCTGATAGAGCTCTGCTCCAAGGCAGCCAAAGCATGGCAGGCAATGTCAGTTGTTGCCAGTTCTTCTGTTGGGCGTAGAAGGATACGAGCAACGTCAAGAGCTACATTCCCCTGAAAAATTACAAGGGAAGGAAAAGTGAAGGTAATGCAGATCATCCTACATACCATTGATGCTACAACTCTGAACAAAACAGCAGTATGGCTAACAAAAATTAAACACAGAATCTATCCATGATTAAAGTAGGCACCAATCACATTGACTTAATTTTTTGACAATAATCACATTGACTTAAAGGGATGAATTATACAAAAAACAAGAATCCCTTAAACTGAACATACCTGGCCCAGTATAACAGCCGTATCGGTATTCTTCAAATCAGGACTCAAGTTTCTGCAATCTGGGTGCCCGTTGTACCACCAGACAAATTCTCTGGCTGAGTATATCCCAGAAAGATCCTGAAACACATGTACCCATAAGTCAGGCAAACTCGTCAACAAAAAGCGCCTCAAATTCACAATGTTGAATCCAATTTCATTAGCATACTTCTCCTGGAATACCCAGCGCTCTGTCACTTTCAGCACCATATGCAAGAACAACCTGCTTGGTTGGAATTCAAGAGTTAGCCAAAACAAATGTAGAAGAGACAAAATGCCAACAGAGAAGAAAACAACAGATGCATTGGAGCACCAACAGTGAATCTTACCACATCATACAAGTTCCTCAGCTCCGAGAGCGAAATGGAGGACCCAAGAGTGACTTTCCCAAAGAACGAGCACCTGTCATTTTGCGCGACCCTTGAGAACTGATTCGTCACAATCTGTTCCAGGTATTCTGGTAAATTAAGCTCAGTTAACAGATTTATATTTCCAAGGGAAAATGTAGAACATTGCTGTCACTAAGAAATGCAAGTTACAAATTCCCCACCAAGAGTCCTGCTCAACAAGAAGGGTTTCTACTTCTCATATTGCACCACTTTCACAGCAACCAAGCAAAAGTTCTAATTTTTCTACTCAGATACCACTGATGGGGAAAGAAAGGAAAAATTCCAAGAAGCCTAAAAGGGAAAGAACTTTCCTAGGAACCAAACAAGAATCTGACCTTGGTTTCTGGGTGATCGGGGGCAACTCCTGACCGGACTAATCCAAAAGGCGTCGGCAGACGATCGATGATATCAACTTCTGCCCCCTGGTGCGCCTTCAGCATCTGAATTTCACCAATTCAAAAGGCAACAGAAGTGAAATAAAAGGACTATTCATCAAATTATTTAAAATTAAGAAATTAGAGAAATTTTCTAACGAGGAATTACTTTCTCGGCGGTGTACATGCCGGCAGGTCCGCTGCCGACCACACAGACGCGAAGGGGATGAGAAGAAAGACTCGAGAAGCTTCTGGAGAGCCATGTCCTCGAACGGAAGATCGCCATTGCCGTCATATTCCTCGTCGCCGGAGCTTTTTTGAGAGACAGCTACCAGCGAGCAGCAGAGGCACAGAACCAAGAAAAGAGGAGGAAAATCGAAACAAAGGCTGGACATGTAATTTGGGCTTCATGGACCTACTTATTGTTTAGTTGGGCCTACTCACTGAATGGTTCTGTCGATTCGGCCCTTCTCAGTTGGGCTTTTTTGCATCAAGGGATTCGGCTGGAGGCTAGAGTCCGTCAAGGGATTTTGCAAGCGTGTGGACTAAGAGCAGTCGACTGGAGTCGTGTACAGAAGGCAAATATGACAAGCTAATGAGCTATCCTTTGTAACAAAGAGAAGAACAATTTCCATTGGTAACATGATTTGCTGGATTTGATTTTGATTTAACAATTTTTATGTGGTATTTTTTTTCTCTCGAAAGGTAGCTAAGGCGTGCAACGATTTTTTTCCGAGCTGGACGAAGATTGGCTCTCGGATGAAGGGCGGAATTAAACTTGTCTGCAAGACTCATCCGTCAAGCAAAGATGAAAGTCGGTACAATTTGTTTTTTTGTTTTACTGAAAAGAGAGAGAGAGAAATAGAGACGTAGGATGTTGATATTAGTTATTCTCGAATTGTTGAGTGAAGTTTCAAACCAATAACAAATAGACCCAAACAACTCCAATGACCATCAGTTCAACCCATATTTAAGGTAAATGCCGTTAGAAACCAAGAACAAGAGTAGACACTGGAGACCAAGCACAATACATAATCTCTGTTTGATGTCTGGCCCACGATCCATTGGTGATTTTGGTTCAAGAAGTCTTTTGTTGGTCCAAACCGTTACAAAACTGCTGATCAAGTCGAGGGAGTGTAAACATTGTACGCATCCACCGAGTTGAAATCAAGTTGGCGGGCTTGAAATTTTAACATACACATCATATATTGTGGCTGAATCTGATGAATCTGATGTTGATATCGAAAATCGAGAGGATTCATAAACAAGGGTTCTAGGTCATTACAGACTCGGGTACTATGTTGAAGACCAATTAGTCCAGATAACACAAATTGTTTGAAGAAGTTATCGAATGAATCTTCACATACCAATCTCGGTTGATCATTCTTGAATCTCTTGCAATATGAGATTCAAGGTCATGATGACTCTTGTTTGAAAGTTTACTCCTTTTGAAACGTACCACGCATTCTTAATGTCGAGTTTTATACACCACTAAAAAATTCAATTTATGGATTAATCAAGTCGCGATAAAACACATTCCTTGATCGAGTTATAGACGAAACACTCCACAGCCAAATTTGTACAACCCGTTACTCTCCTCTGTGGTATCTCTGTGAATTGACATTCTAGCCTCAAAACGGGTCGGGACCGGGTCAAATATCCGTTTGATAGGTGTGATGATGCCGTCACACATGATGCAAGGACTGCGTCGTCAATGTCGTTGGTAGGCTCAAATTACAGAAGGATGATATAGAAAAATGTGTGGAATAATACTAAAATTATAAATGGAAGAAAATAGGGTAAATCATTACGTCATGGGACCAACATTTTGATTTTTCAGAAGTTCAAACAAAAACAAATGATGAAAGTGCAAAGAAGGAAAGAGCACCGGTCTTTATTTGTTTGTTCATCTCAAAGTATCTTAACTCTCATATATTAATTATCATACCATTTGATTCGACCACAAAAATTGTCTATATTGATAATTAGAGCCGTGTACATTATCACGACATCATATATAAGATCACTAACTTGGGAAGTTGTGTTTGCGGGCTCGAATGTACGTATTTTGATCATTGTCTTCGTATAGTTTGAGAGGATTGGGTATATATGTGCCAAAACTCAAAACCCAAAAAATAGATTCACAACACGTGCAATTTAGTTGTTCAGGAATATTGAGTGGAGCGATCCTAGCGTGCATCTATTCTCCATCAGTGCATCGATTTTACGAGCTCTTATCTATCGATTTTACAATGCATATGATGGGAAGCAAATATATATCGATTTTACAAAAATATCACCCCTATAAAAAAATTGCATCCATGATGCAAATATACATGAAAAAGGTTTTGCCACAATAGAAAAGGCTGTGTCTTGACAATTTTGAATGCATTCTAATTAATTAGTTCTAATATGAGCTCAAGATCATATATGCCACTAATTATTTAATTAACACATCTTAAAACTATAACAAAGGTGAACTGCCTTTACTGGTAGAACAGGAAAAGGCCAGCTAGCTATTGAGACGACAACTGGATCTGTAAGAACCACCACTAGCCATTAGAATTAGTGATTAGTTCCTCCCTTATAACACGGCCAATTAACGTTAACTTAACAAGCTCCAACACTTTAAATTGGTATGCACAAATTGGTGCATAATTTACAATAATAATCATGAATAATTTTACACTTTTGTTATTTGTTAAGTATAACGGGTTATTATTTTTGTATTTTAAATCATAATTTAAATGTTTATCACATACAAATCATATTATGAGAGTAATGTTTGATAGGAATATTTTTATATTTACACTTTGATACCTATCATTTAATTTTTTTATACGAAAATATCATTGGAAGATTATGTTTTGGTACCTGAATTTTTTATTACGATACTTTAGCACCTTAACTTTTGAAAAGGTACATAATGGTCTAAGGTTTGGATGTCATCACTTGGGTCTATGAATCAATCCACCAATTCAATTGATCCAATCCATGAATAAAACAATCGATTAATCCAATCCATTTTTCATCTCTAGTCATTTACCATCTTTCACTACCGTCTACCACCAGTTTAACAAATGAGGGTCAATGGAATCCAAACACAAAACTTATTAATCAACAAAGATTCTCATATCAATAATTCATTAATTGCAATAATTGAAGTTGTTAAGAGAAATTCCATTAGAAATTTTGTACAATTTATGAACAAATACATTGTTATCCAGCCACTTAATTGGCTAATCAGTAATCACTTCGAGCCTTCTGTCACAAAAAAAAAGTAATCACTTCGAGCCCCCCTTTATGGTTTACTGGCCGTCACTTGTGTTTTGTTCCACAGAGCGGAGACGTTTCAGTTTTGTTAATATGTTGGCCATGAATCAACTCATCAACTTTTTTTTTTGGTAAGAAACAGGGCGCAAAGGGCGCCCTAGCCTGAATTAAGAGTTAACGAAATGGGGTGTTTGAATCCCCAGAGTGTCAAAGTACAACCAATACAGCAGAGTACTACTCGGATTTTGAATCCCATGAACCCCTATCGGAACAGAATGGCCAATGGAAGCGAGGTGGTCAGCCACGAAATTCGCTTCTCTGTAAACATGCTCTATCCTGACAAGCCAAGGCCGAGCTAGCCATTGGCGGATATCTGCAATGCATGAGTAATGAGGATGCTGCGGAGTCGCGTTCTCGATCAAAGTGCGGGCAGTGCAGGAGTCTGTCTGTAGAACAACCTTCCTGATCCCCTCTTCCCAAGCGAATCTCAACCCATAAGCAATTCCAGCCAGCTCTGCACGAGTGATCGAACCCCCTCCTAAGTTCGCTGTGAATGCTTTGATGAAACGGCCATCGTCTCCCCTCACGATGCCGCCACAACTCGTGCTCGCAGGAGAGTAGGTGGCTGAGCCATCGGTGTTAACGCATGCCCAACCATTCGGCGGAAGTTGCCAGCTGATATCCCGCCTCTCACGGAGTCCCCCATCTCCGGAGATAGTGCCCTCCTTCTCAAAAGCTTTAATTATTTGAAGCCGCAGCTGTTTGGTGGAGAACTGGAGCTGCTCATGGGTTTTCAACTCGCTTCGAAACAGGTGATCATTCCGATTCTTCCACAGAAGCCAACACGTGCCTGCAAAAAGGGTACTATCAATAATCTTACTCCGCCCAGATAAATAATGCATTGACCACCTGTGTAGGTCGGGTTCAAGGAAGTCCACATCAGGTTCATCTTCAAGGATCCCCGCCCAAGTGGCTCTCGCAAACGGGCAGTCTCTTACAACATGAAGCGCAGTCTCTGGGCCCCCACCGCAAATCTCGCAGTCGACATTTGTTGTGAGGTGGCGTCGGGCCCTCTCGGCATTCGTCAGGAGTCGGTTGTGATTGAGCAGCCAGAGGAAGGCGCGTATTCTCTGCATCGTGGGTGTCCTCCAAATCGATCTCCAGATGGGTTGTCTCGTGGCTGGGCTCGCGGCTTCATCGGTCAACTCGTAGGCCGTGCGAAACAAGAAGGCCCCGTTCTGCGTCAGCCGCCAGTAGCGTACATCAGGCTCAGCTTCAGTCGGCACCGGGTGGAGCAGTACCTGCGAAACCATCGAACTGGGTAAGAAGGCAGTCAAAAATGGCACATTCCACTCACCGTTGAGGACAAACTCGGCGACAGGCGCGTCCATCAACTCCGGCGGAAGGTTCGGGGCATGGTCCTTCAATATGGTGGAATCATCCACCCATCGGTCGCTCCAGAACCGAGCCACCCGGCCATTCAGGATATTCCAAGCAGATGCGTCTTCCACCAGGTCTCGGACTCGCATGACTCCCCGCCAAAGATTGGAGAGACGACCATTGGTTTTGAAGAGAAGCCCCTCATCCGTGTTCCTGCAGTATTTGGCGAGAATGACGCGCGCCCAGAGCTCGTCCGGCTTCGTCATCAAACGCCATAAAATCTTCAACATGAACGCCTCGTTCATCCTCGTTGCACCCCTGAGGCCTAACCCGCCCTCATCCTTCGGCCTACAAATTGTCGCCCAGTCCACTAGGTGGACTTTTCTTCCCTGGTCAGAGCTACCCCAGACGAAGGTCCGGATTTTTTTGTCTATGTACTCCCGGACGTTCGCCGGGAGGAAGGCCGTCTGCATCGTGTAAGCGGGTAGCGCTGAGAGCACAGATTGAGCAAGGGTTATACGTGCAGCCAGGGACATGGATGACGCCGACCAGCCCGCGAGTCTTGCATCAATTTTATCAATCAATTCAATGAACGTGGCTTTGGTCACCCTGTCGTGGATCACCGGTACTCCCAGATAACGTCCTAAGTTTAGAGTCTCAGATATGCCCAACTCCTCAGTGATGCTCCTTC